TAAAGAGAGACAATAAAAGCTGAGTCCCGAAATATCAGTAAATTCATTCTCGTTCGAGTGCTAAAAAATTATTACTTGCTTTCAAAGAGGGAAATTCTGGCAAAAAAGAGAAAAATGCAGAAGTACTTTTGGATGAACGAATCGAAGAAAGGATAGAAATGATGGAAAAAATATAATAGTTCTAGAAAATAAGATAATGAGAGTCACATAAATAAAAGTGATCCAGACATAAAATATGGCTGTAAGGACCAAATATGCTGTTGCGAAATTCATTAAGCATTTTCAAAAAAAGAAAATTCTAGGCACCGAGTATCATTAGGTAAAAAATAATAATATACAGCAATATTCTGTTTTCAATCTTAATATCTTTATATAAATCTTTACATTTATGTATTTAGATAAAATTAAAAATATATTTATAGAATTATTAACATGCAAATTAATAATTACTGATCTATAAAAATAAAAAATGATAAGCCTTTTTTATTAATTTTTATTGTTAATATTTAAAAAATTTTCAAATATTGTAAACTAATTGAAATCAAATTAATGTATAATCAAGTTGAATTCTCATATGAAGGTCATTATTTTAATTATATTAATAAAATTAATAAAAATTAATAAAAAAAAACAATATTTACTTGAATAAATATCTTTACATTGTATTTTTTTATATTGTACTTAATATATGTCAAATTCTATAATAGAACTCAGATTTGCTATGTGTGTGAATAAAAAGACTTCTTGAAACTTAGAGAAATTGAATTTTACTTTCATTCAGTATTTCTGAATATACAATATAAGAAAACATAGATGAAACGAGACAATAATATAATAGATAAAAAAAGTTTATTGTAGAAGAAAAATTTAGTAATACAAATTGAAAGAGAATGGCATTAATTTGTCCATAACAAATGAGCAGTAATTAAAAGTACATAGCGCGCAAATCTACGATATTGTATTCAAAGTGAATGCGAAGAAAGTTCTACAACGCTGAATATGATGATTCATGAAATTTGATGACCGGGAAGTTGGGTAACGAGAAGTCGCAGCCTTGTCTGAAAGACGGAACCGTAAACTTGATTATGACAACTTTTTAGACATGGCTACAGTCATGATTTATGGTGCTTCAGGAGACTATCTACTTGCCTTAATCAGAAGTGGAGGGAATTATTTCACATCTTATCAATATCCTACAATAAGAGCTGTTCTTAAATACATTTTAAGTCCTAAAATGAAATACCTTATAGTTAATGTGATAGGGTGTATGGATTATTTTAATTAATTATTGAGAATCAAAAAATTTGTCACGAAGAAAATAAATTTATTTTATAAAAAATATTATCAAATATTTCAATGCACGATTTTATTGACCATTATTCAGATATAATATTTTAAATTGGGTTTAATTTCATATAATAAACTCATTTAATTTAGCATTGTATTTTTTACAGTATAAATAAAAGTCAAAACTATATTTTACTATGTGATATAGAAATAAAATAATTTTTATTCTACAGAAAAAATATTAAACTCAAAATTCAATTTTAGAAACTAACTTTAAAAAAATGATTTTGTTTAAATAGTATGCTAATTTAACTTTATGCATTAAACTGAGATAATAAATATATAATATAAAATTAAAGATTCCAAACATGTTAAGTAGACTTCTTTTTAAATTTCGCATTTTTTCAAAAGATACTTGATAATACATAAATTGTATAAAGTAAAATTCGTGCACAAATAAATTAAATAAATTTTGAAATTTTCTAGACTTCCGCAAATAGTTTACTAACGTATAGCTAAGATGAAATAATAACAGGCTTATAATAAAAATATTGTTACAGGATTTTCTATGATACAGCCGAATAACATAAGCCGAGTCCTTGACTCAAGAGTTGGTTTTATCATAATCTGTGAAAATTCAATTTGTAAATACAATCAATTTTAATAAAAAATATAATAGATCTGAAAAATTGTAATGATCAAAATCTTTTAGTTCCATAGTTTTATAATAATATAGATACGAATATATGTACATAAACATTTTAACCAACATTACAAATATTAAATGAATTAAATATTAAATTAAATTAAATATTAAATTATTTACAATAAAATTTTAAATGTATTTAAAATTATTAATTTTTTCCAACCAAAATATAAAATTTTTTATTTTAATGAAGTAGAACATTTTCTCTCGTATATAAAAAAATATTTACATGAAGAATAAAATTCCTCTTCTCAAAACTTTTTCAAACCCAGTTACCGTCTGCTTGTAGTTACTTATATTACCTGCATATAGAGGAAAAGCAGCAGTAAAAAAGTGCAGTAACTCGAGCGAAAATGAAATCTCTCACTTGTAATTCGAAATACAATGTGAAGAAAATGGAGCCAAGAGTCTAAATGAAGTACACATATAAGAGACAAACTGAAAGAAGTCAAGAAACAGAGGGAGAGAGATAGAGAGAGAAAGAGCGCGCGAGAGAGAGAGAGTGATAGGGGTAGGATAATATGCGAAGCACTAGAAGAAAGTTAGGAATACGTGAAAAGTTTATATATATAGATATAAATCAACATAGTTAAAACTTGTGCTAATTGTTTATAAGTGATAAATCGAGAGAAAGGGTGAGAGCAGGAAAAACAAAACAGACAAAATGCAAAATGACTTGACCCTTGACACTATTGTACATTATCGTATAGTAGAGTTGTTTCGATAATTCAAACTATGAAAATTATGCGTTGATATTTGCGTATTTATATGTAAGTAAATTTCATATATTTATCGAGCTTTTGTATTTCAATTGCAATTTGAAGTTTTTTTTTTAAAGGCGTGTTTTTACTTATTTAACTTGATTTTTAAAACCTTATTTATAAATAGATATTATATAATATACAACAGCACTGTTATACACTAAAATTGTAATTAAAATTTCTTGTTGTATACTAAATTTAGTACACTCGTAATAAATTAATTATTATCAATCATTAATAAAAGTTTTATAAAATTAATAAATGACTGGCAAGCTATTGAATTATATCATTATTATTTATACATTAAAAAAATCATATAATTGTTATAATAATTAGGTACTGTAATAATGCATTCGTTTCAAAATATTTTATTTATAAGGAACTATAAGTTAACATTGAAATATAATATTTATAAAAGCATTTATTATATTATTCAATATTATAAGAAATTATAATAAATAGTATAATACGTATAAGTACAAATTTCTAAGTAAATTTATAAAATAATACATTAAATATTTTTAATATAACTTAAAGATTATAAGTATTAAATTGAAATTTTCACCTTGAATGATCAAATATTTGAAATTATTATTAAAATAAAAATTACTTCATTTAATGCTAGAATATAATTTTCTATGTAGAAAAAAAGGATAGATACATTATTATTGTATTAACTGCTTCGAACTGCGACTGTAATATTAAGATTATAATTTCACTCTCATTATTCTGAATCTATTACTAAAATCTATTATTATTTATGAACTTTTCAACATACTTATGATTTCAAGTATTTTTAAGTTAAATTTTAAAATGTTTAATGTTTGTATCTTACTACTTTAAGTACGAAAGGTACTGAAGTTATTTTTTTAAATTTGCTTAAATAATTTTTAATAGTTATAAATAAAATTCAATTACATAGATTAACATTTTATATACCTCAGCTTTAATATAAATTCTAATTTTATTTAATACTGAATACTTCAAAAAGATAGGAAAATATATTTAAAAATTAATGTATAATGTAATTATTATTACAATGTCTTATCTTGTATTAAAAATAAATTATTCTTTAATTAAAAATTTAAAAAATTATAAATTAAAAAAAATTATAAATAAAATATTATAAATTCGTATTATAAAATAATAGGGTAATAGTTTTTACAATGAAAATCAATCTTCGATATAAACATCTACATATATTTAATAAAAAGAAATTATATTGTATTCTGAATTATATTGTTTGCAAAAATTTATTAATTTTCCTAAATATAAGAAAACTTTGTTAATAACTTTTTTTACAAATTTTCAGCTAATTATATGTAATTTAATATTATTTGATATATAGTAATTGTATATTATCATACAAATACATAATTTTTAAGATATTTCATTAATCTGTTAGATATCAATTAAAAAT